ATTAGGTAAGTAAATTTAAATTGACCTATGTATAGTTAAATTATATTTTATTAATTAACATATTAAGTAATTTGATTAATAAAATTTTTTTGTAGGTATTTGATTGAAATTTGTACTTTATCAATGAAATAGATGGGATTGGAGACTTTGGAAGAGTGCGTGTAACTTTTGTTTTAGATTTTAAATATTATATTGTGTTGAAAGTATTGTATTGATATAAAGTATTGTATTGATAGTATTTGGTTAAAAGTGTGTTGATAATATTGTGTTTTGATAGTTTGGTAATAATAGTGTTGATGGTTAGTATTATGTAGTGTATGAATAGGATTTTTATAAAAATTGGGGCATTTAAAAATAAAAATAAAATTTGCATTTTTTTTTAAATAAAAAACAATCCGCTACCCTTCTTTTGTAAAAAGGGTAGCGGATGCTTAAAAAAATAATAAATTAATAGTCTTCGCTACCCTTCTATATTTAGAAGGGTAGCGGATGTTCAACTTTTTGCTACCCTTGTAAAAGGGTAGCGGAAAGCTCAAGGCTTTCAGCGTCCCTCACATCCGCTACCCTTGTACAAGGGTAGCGGATAACCCTTTACAAGGGTAGCGGATGTGCATATCTGTACTAGTGTCGGCCTTAAGGTAACCTCTGAATGCTTCAATCTGATCAGAAAAGTTAGTTTAGTGTTAATAATGCTTTTAAGTCAATAGATAGGTAATGGTAAGAATGTCAAGTTTTTTTTTTTTTTTTATCAAAATTACCAATAAGTGTGGGCTGTTGCCATATTTGTCCTTCTCCGAAACACCAGCTGGTAACTCCTTGTTGTCAATGACCTGTACTTTATGTTCTTTCACATTGAAGCAGACCAAGAAGTAGTGACCATGGCGATGAACTGCGAAAAATATCTAATTCCAATTCAAAGTTAAAGCAATGTTAGTATTTTTTTTGGACATGATAAAGTCAAATTGGACATGGGTAATAGAACTTACCAGATCTGCATCACTGATGTCTAGGTTCCCGAAGCTGGTTATTTCATAGCTCAATCTCTCATTGAAATTCTTCATTTTTATGTGAGTTGGGAGATCCTTCATCCACTGGTCATTGGGATCAATTTGAAGCTGCACATACAAATGCAGGAATGAGTAGTCATAATCCAAATAATATTTGTTGAAAATGTTAAAATTATACATACAGAGTTATATATATACACTTCCAGAATTGTACAACTATAGTTTCATAATTGCATAATTATAATTCCATAATTTCATATCAATAATTCCATAATTGCATATCTACAATTCCATAATTGCATAACTATAGTTCTATAATTGCATAACTATAATTCCAGAATTACAAAACTATAAAACCAGGGGTTCACAGGTACACATCCAGAACTGAATAACTACATATCCATAATCTAAAAACTATATATTCATAATTTGTGAACACTTACATGTACTAGGGTGGAGAAGTATACCCGCTTTGTCTCCCTAACCGCACGGGGCATGTTTAGCAATGTAAAACGTAGGGACCATACATCTAGGAAGCTGCTCAGTAGCTCACCATTGCACATAGTTGCAAAATCGTCCCTTGACAAGTAGTAATCACCATATTTGAACAATGTCTCTCTACAATACAGTAAATAAATAAATATAAGAACATAAATTAATGAATAAAATTTAAGTAAAATAGGTAGATGGAAACATACCCTCCTGGGTGCTCACTTGAGGCTTCCAAAAATGCATAGTTTGAAAAAACCTTTTCTTTGGGAGTTGCATTATTGATGGAGCCTTTGTTCTTATTCCAATATGGTGACCTCAAATGAAGCGGGATGTTCCTGAATTTGCGCACAGGTCTCTTTCTCACAGTAACATCCTCAATATCATATTCACTTTCTTCCATAGCTCTGTTGTCCAGAAAAAAACAGAGGCAGTTCATAACCCCACAAGTATAATTCCAGAATTGTATAACTACATTTCCATAATCTATAAACTATATGTCCATAATTTGAGAAATACATATCCATAATTGTAAAGAAATCAATGTCAATAGTTGAATAAGAATATATTCATATTAATCAAACTTAATATTCATAATTATTGATGAATTGAAAACCATATTCATAGTCTAAATCTGCATAAGAAAGCAGTAACCTACTTATCAAATTCATCAATCTCAGCAGCAGCTTGGGCAGCAGGGGTAGTAGGAGTGGTGGATTTTTCGAATGGCACTCTGATTAGTAATGGAGTTGCTTCCTTCTCTGTTGAGGTTGATACTCCTGCACTCCTCACAATGTTATCCACCAAGGTGTCCAAAGGCTGCTGTTGAGATGGTGGTGGGGTTGGTGTAGAGCGTCCAAGTAGCTCAAACGATGGGACTTCTATTTCCATTTCTTTTCTTGTTTTTTTCAAAAGCTGCTACCAGAGAATCAATTGCTGATGTGAAGCTTTCACTTCCAAAGAAGATGTCATCCAATTGCGAGGCTTGGGCTAGGAGTCGGTTGAATTGTGCTTGCAGCACTCAGCATTGTTGATATTCCTGAAAAAAGCCCTCTTCATGATTTCAACCGGGGCCCCTTGCTTGCCAATGTCAGACATGACCTGACCGAACTCAAGGACATCTGCTGTAAGCCGTTGAAGCACATTTGTTACTCGGTCAACATTTGTCAGAGGCACAGATGGAGCTGGAATAGATGGTGTAGCAGCAGGGCTGGACACTGGCCTTGGTATTGCAGCAGGAGGAGGTGCAGGTCGGGGTGATGATGTAGATGCAATGGCAGTAGGTCTCTGAAATCGAGGGATAACTTTGCCCTTACCAAAACCCCCTGATTTTATCTCAGCCGATACTCGCTTGCGTACAAGGCTTTTTGTCCAAGCTTTTATTGCTGGGAATATGCGGTTGACGGTCATGCCTCTGAACTCTACTCGGTCAAAGTAGAAGAGCTTCAAGAATTACAGAAGAGTATGTTAAGGAATTGAATAACTACATATTTAGAATTGTATGGATACACATTCTTATTTGCATAACTATAATTCCATACTTATAAAACTACATATCCAGAATTGCATATCTATAATTCCATAATTGCATAACTATAATTCCATAATTGGATGACTATAATTCCATAATCCATAAACTACACATCTATAATTGAATAACTATAATTCCATAATTGTAAAACTATTATTCCATAATTGGAAAACCACAATTCCACAATTACAAAACTACACATCCATAAGGGCATAACCACACATACAGAATTGCATATCTATGATTCCATAATTGCATGAATATAATTCCATAATTAGAAAATTTTATGTATAATGGGATCTTACCAGGATGAATACCATTGGACCTCCAAAGGATCTGGTAGGAGAGTCTTTGTAAATGTCATACGAATCAATTAAAGACTTGTACGTGTACTTGCACCAATTAAGTCTTGAGATTGCCCGGATGTTGAGCAATGACTTGATAACTCGATAGTTGGCATATCTTCCAGTATTTTCCCGGAGCAGAGATGAGATAGCAAACATCACAAAGTCTCTCTTGAAGGCATCTCCATGGTCACCTCTCCTGATTATTTCATCAGGCATCTTTATTGTTATGGGTGACCCTGACCTGACATTCCATCTTTTCCTCCACTCAGTCAGGACCTTATTATATGTAGCTGTAAAATTTTCCTCACTCTTTGTACCTTCCTCAATATCTCTCTTTCCCCGGGGGAGTCCCAAGATGTATTCAACATCCTCTTCATCGACATGTAGATGGTCACCATCCAATATGAAGTCTGATTTGAAAACATCAAACCTTTGCAGAAGATACTCAACAAGTTGTGAGTAATTGCTTGAGAATTGTAGGTGCAGCAGCCCTCCAAAACCCATATCAATCACAGCATCCTTTTGGTCCTGTGTTAGACGCTGGACAAGGTCATACATTTGCTTGGGACCCATTCGTGTACTGAAGTAATTCACATCAAGGTCCCGTACTTTCTCTCGCTTTTGTGGTGGTGCCCTCTTTCTTTTCACAGCTGCTGGTTGTTGCCTTGTCGAAGGCTCTGCTTGATCTTCCTGGGCAGGGGTGAGTTGAGCAGCTTGTGAGCTCAATACTGCCCTGGTTGTTCTCTTTTTTACAGACTTCACAAATTGACCAAGCGTAGCGTCATCTGCCACACCTGACTCATCCATTTCTGCAAATAAAAAACATTAAGTGAGGTTAACAGAGTACTATATCCAAAACTTCATAACTACAATTCCATAAACACACAACTATACTTCCAGAATTGTAAAACTACAATTCCATAATCTCATAAGTATACCACAAGGAAAGTTATGCTAAAAAGGATTTGAATGCAGTTTGGTGCACAGAGTAAGGTTCACAGAGTAATACATCCAAAACTGTATAACTATAATTCCATAAACGCACAATTATACTTCCAAAATTGTACAACTACAATTCAATAAGTATACCCACAAGGCAAATTATGCTAAAAAGGCATTGATGCAGTTTGGTGCACAGAGTAAGGTTCACAGAGTACTACATCCAAAACTCTATAACTACAATTCCATAAACACACAACTATATTTCCAGAACTATAAAACTACAATTCTATAAGAATACCCACAAGGCAAATTATGCTAAGAAGGCATGAATGCAGTTTGGTGCACAGAGTAAGGTTAACAGAGTACTACACCCAAAACTGTATATCTACAATTCCATAAATGCACAACTATACTTCCAAAATTGTACAACTACAGTTCCATAAACTTATAAATATACTCATAAACCCATAATCATAACCATACACGTTAATAATCAAATAACTATACATTCATACAAGATTAAACAGTATAAAACCCTAGTTTAAAATTTCATAAACATATACTCAAAATGAATGCTTGTTTTGTGTAAATGCATTATGTATCAACGTAAAATACATTTATACCTGTTATAGGATGATGATGAGCTCTGGTTTACAGAGAAAGCGCAGTTGAATATGCGATGATCGGACGTCGGCGACAATAGCGACGATGAGTGTGTGTGAAAGCTAGAAAATGCTGAAGAAATGGTAAGAAAATGGAGATGATTGAAGCGTCTACGGAGGGTATCGTGTTGGAGAAGGAAGGGAGTGCGGGAAGTGAAATGCAATGGAGAAGAAACGAAGGAGCATTGTTTTATATTTAAAAAAAAAATCTGATTGGTGGAGTGAAACGGTGCCACTAACGCCACCGTTACTCCCTAAACGACGTCGTGTGGATCCGGATGCACAAAGTATGGTGCAAACGGATGCACAGCATAACGATTGAATTTGTATAGAGAGCGCCCTCGAGCTGCGAATATTTTTGTAGGATTTTGAAGATGAAAAGATGTGTAATTTTCGGGTGGAGAGATGAGGAGATGCGGTGTAGATGTGTTGTGTATTGAATGAAGATTGAATTGAGTTGAATCGAATGTTGTGTCCGTCCCTTGTGCTGATGTTGTGTCCGTCCCTTGTAGTATAAAACTATTAATGGATATGGCAATTGGTTTTCCTTTGAGCATTTACGGGGCGTTTGGTTGGAGGGAGGGAATTACGTGGGAAAGGAATTGTAATTCCATGAGAGATGAATTACGGGAATAAAGTGGGAATTTAAATTCTAGTGTTTGGTTAAAATTACTGGGAATTTCAATTCCAATGTTTGGTATACATGAGAATGGAAAGAGAATAAGTAGTATAAAGTTCAAAATGTCCATTGTTGTTGTCAGTCATCAATTTTAGGTTTAAAAAAGGGGAGGGTAATTTTGTCTCATCATTTTCTTTTTTTTTTCTTCCTAAAATCCAGGAAATTAAAATCTCAAGGGGGGCATGGGATTTTAATTCCATGAAAATGAGGGAATTGCAATTCCTTCCAACCAAACTAAGGAATTCAATGGCCTTTGAAATTAGGTGGAAATTAAGTGGAATGAAATTTAAATTCCCTCCAACCAAACGTCATGTTATGGTAGAGTGGAATATTTTGGAATATATAGGTGACTTAGGAAATATAAAGATATTTAGGTATGTAGTGATTGATGATTTAGGGAAGAAAATGATATTTAGAAAAGTAGAGCTAATACAAGTCAAAGAGGATATTTAGGTAAGTAGGGTTTATGTAACTGGATTATTGTTCTTCCATAATTGCAAGATCGCCATATAATTGACTTCCTGTAATTCTTGGATGCTGCTACGATTATTACTCCATAACCTGGATTGGGCTGCTATACAGACTTTGGGTCACCTGCCGAGTACCTGCTCGGCCCGACTGGTAGACCACTCCGAAGTCGACGTCCAAAGGTCTTAGTACCACCCCCAACTGAGTGATACATATTTATAATTTTAAATAAGAGAATATAAATTTTTGAGTAACGAGAGAAATTCATTATCCGAGAGTGTGTATTGGGTAAACCTCATGTTGTAACCCTAGCCACCAAAGAATCACAAGGAGACAAACCAGTCTAGGTTATTCATAGTTGACCGGCTCAAACCAAGAATGTCAATAGGTCGTCCTAAGAATTAAATTTATAACATTATAGTTATCAAGTCAACAGTCTGACCAAATTGATTGAATTGTCACAAGCTAAGATTATAAATTTGACCCCTTAGCTCATATGCATTAAAAAAAAAAAGTCACTATATTAACGAAAAAGAAGTCACAACCTCACAATTGCTTCTAGCTTAGTGCCCCATAAAATGAAGTGCAGACAATTTGGTATAAAAGAAGATTACTTCATGACTTGGTAGAGCACTACAAAGAGCAACAAATATTAGTACCTATGGTATCTAAAAAATTCTTAGGCCACCCACTACCTTGAGGCTTGATGCATCTGAATTTACAAGGATATATGCTTGCAAGTACACTTGTAAAAAGAAATAAGAACATAAGTATTTAGAATATAATTTTTACTCTTTAAAATATTGACCTCTAGATCAGAAGGCCATGCATCTAGAGCCATACAGGAATCTTTCGTAGAACCATAAAAACTCTTTTGTGCCACACAGGGACGGAGCCAGAAATTCGGTTGAGGGGGGCGAAAAAGTATAGACGGATTCAGAAAATTTTTTCAGTAAAGGCGAAACATTAAAACAAAACCGATAGTTTAAAAATAAATAAATACATTACCTAAGAAATATTGTTGTAAATATTGTTGGATATGGACGAAAAATAAAACACATCAAAACTTTATAAAAATATTCATAACAAAATATGAAACATAATTAATTTGAATAGAAAACACATTATAAATTATACATCTCATTATTTACCTAAGAAATATAGTTGTAAATATTGTTGGATATGGACGAAAAATAAAACACGTCGAAACTTTATAAAAATATTCATAACAAAATATGAAACATAATTAATTTGATAAAATAATTTGAATAGAAAACACATTATAAATTATACATTTCATTATTAATATAAAAGAATGTTATATATATGTGTGTGTGTGTGTGTGTGTGTGTGTGTGTATTAAATACACAAAAAGCTATTAAAAAATAATTGTTGATATTAAGATTTGAACCCTTAACCTTCAATATTTTCAATCACATACACTACCAACTACTCTAACACACTTTTTGTTAATATTTAGTAGTTTCTTTATAGGAATAAGATTCAAATTGGCCACTAAACGTAACCTGAAAATGCAATTAGGCCACTGAACGAAAAAAAAGTGCAATTAGACCATTGAACACTCAAAAAATGTGCAATTAGGCCACTGAACTCTCCAAACGTATGCAATTTTACCGGATAGCAGGTTACCATCAATTTTAGCAGGTTACCTGCTTACGTGGCAGCTTAGTTATCATTTTTAATAATTTTTAAATAATTTTTAATAATTAATTTTAATAATAAATTTTATAAACAATTGGAAAAAATTAAATAAAAAATAAAATAAAGTCGTTTTTATTTTAATTTTTTTTTAATAAAAAGTTATTATTAAAATTTATTAAAAATTAATTAAAATTTATTAAAAATGCCAACTCAGCTGCCACGTATGCAGATAACCTGTTAAAATTGAGGGTAACCTGCTATCAGGTGAAATTGCACATTTTTGGAGTGTTCAGTGGCCTAATTGCACTTTTTTTTCGTTCAGTGGTCTAATTACATTTTCAGGTTACGTTCAGTGGCCAATTTGAACCTTATTCCTTCTTTATACTAATACTAAAACTTGTACTATATATACATATATACATACAATTATACAAAGACTATATATGGGTTGGGGGTGGGGCGAGGGGGGCAGTTGCACCCCCCCCCCCCCTCTGGCTCCGTCCCTGGTGCCACAAGTAACAATTTAATCAGTTAATCAATTTAAAATAAATTTATAAATTTTGTTCTGGTAGCTTCTACCAAGGATAAAAAAGATATATGAATTTAACTTTGTGTAAACACTATAATATAAACACTTGGATGCTTATAAGTCACTTGAGACACATCTGATGATTTACTTCACCACCAGTCTCCATAGCAAAAGTAGTGAGGTGCTCTTAAGTTTGAAATTCAAACTTATAAAATATCTCGTATTTAATATTTGTTGTTTCATTTTATCTATTATATTTCCTATTAATAATTAAACAAAATTTTCTTTCCTCACTTATTTTCATTATTATGTTTTATGATTTTTAAATTTTGTTTTAATATTTAATATTACAAAATATTAAATTGTAATAACTTTAGTTAATAATTATTAACTAAATTAGATCGACATACAATATAAGATAGAGGTAGTCTACCAAAAAAAAAAAAAAAGATTTTTTTTTGACTTGTCTTTTACTGTGTCTTGCTTAGTAGGTAGAATGACAATGAATGAAGTAATAAGCAAATAAATGTGATACACTATTTCCATGATAGTACAAAACCAAAGATGTGTAGTAAAAGAGAAAGAAAAAAATATTAATTATATTGTAGAAACAAAAAATATGTATTATATTCGTACCTCATGTCTACTAGTCTAAAGATTTAACATTGCTGCGCTCCATGTTACATAGCCAAACCTCTTAATATTTGGTTAAGGATGAATGAGTACATTCTACTCAACCACAGTCCCAAATTGTAACTCTCACATTGAACTTGAATTTACAAAGCGTTTGGTTGGGAGGGGGAGGAGGGAATTACGTGAGAAATGAATTGCAATTCCATGGGGATTAATAATATGAGAATAAAGTAGTAATTTAAATTTCAGTGTTTGGTAGGTTGGAATAGAATTACTAAGAATTTCAATTCCAATATTTGGTATACATAAGAATTGAAAGAGAATAAGTAGTATAAAGTGCAAAAGACTTTATTATTATTATTATTATTATTATTATTATTATTATTATTGTTGTTGTTGTTATTGTTATTGTTATTGTTATTGTTATTGTTATTGTTATTATTATTATTATTATTATTATTATTATTATTAATGAACGATTTGGTCCCTCAATTATTAGCGAACTGTCAATATATTCTCTCAATTGCTTATTCATCGATTTGGTCCCCGAAAACAATTATTTTTAATCAATTTAATCTCTGCAGTTGTCGATTTGACTCCCGAAAATAATTATTTTTAGTCGATTTTGAAGGAAAGTGATGAATGATTGAATAGCCCATAACAGAGAGTCAGAGATGTCCATGGGGTTAGGTTCGCGAATCAAACCTAATCGGCAATAAAATAGATATAAGTATAATTATTGTCAACATGTGCACAACACTTGTCGCTTTGGCCGAGTGGTTAAGGCGTGTGCCTGCTAAGTACATGGGGTTTCCCCGCGAGAGTTCGAATCTCTCAGGCGACGAACGATTTTTTTTTTTTTGTTCATAAATTCACTTGCTTTCGTCATCATATCTATGTACAGACTGTATTGCAATTCCCACTGCACGCACGTACAAAACGAAGCATTAGCTACCAACTAGGTATCAATGGCACAAAATTGTTGAAAAATTATGTCTCGCTTTATATATACTTACTATTTATTGGCCAAATTAATCATTTTATTTTTATT